TTAACAGAGAAATAGGTCAGGATGCTATCAATGACCCACAACTGCTATTCCCTTGTCCTTGCCAGAGTTAAAGTCCTGGGAAAAGAGCATTTCAGATCACGTGTTCCCCACTGTTCCACAGGTGAGTAGAGGAGGGATCTGACCTCTTTGAGTTCAACTGGAGGAGACCAGCAATGGGAGGAAGGAGCCAAGAAGTACCCTAGCTCCAAGACAGTTGGGGAGAGGCAATTCTCTTAATGAAACCAGGGTGTTTTTAGTGGGGGGAAGGGCTAGTGTACAGCCCCAAACCAAGAGCTACCTATTAGTGAGCCTAGAGAGGGCAAGAGCTCTGGTCTACTGCTTCTAGGGCTAGTGTATCACTGAGCCTGCAAACTGGTCCCAACCCACTACCCTAGCACACTGTTGGTACACTTGGGAAATAAAGAAACCATGTTTGAGTGTGTGGACATAAAGAGCTATAACGCTGAGTGTCCAGGTCTATGTGTCATGGAGAATCCCCTGGAGAAGCAACTGCAGGACCAGCCTAATGAAATGTGCCTTGATCAATAAAGTGGTTTCTTTAGAGGACAGGGGCTTTACCTGGGGCTAGTTAGTGTTGACAGTGTTTCTAGGCTCCTGGAGATGTGATGGTGGAGGAGCGCTGCCTCTAGGCAACCAAGCTGCCCCTTTCAACAGTGCCCTCATGTGGCAGTCTCAGCAACTGCAGGATACACAATGGTCAGGTTTCTAGGTTTTTCTTCTTCAGGAGATGGCAACTAGAACTGCCTCTTTGGACCAAATAACTGCTCTGAGAGTTATCCTGGAAGGGAAGACCCCAAGTTGAGAAGAGAGTCATTCTCAGAAGAGGTGGGATGGGAACTCAAGCCATTCAATTTCAGTAATAAAAACCGTGTAACATAGCATCCTACTGGCAGGGAGGGTAATAGCTCAGTGACAGAGTACATACTTAGCATGCATGAGGTCCTGGGTTCAATCCCCAGGACCTCCAATTAAAAACAAAAAATCCATAGCATTCTTCTACATAAAGACTGATTCACCAGGATCTTTTGGATACTGATCTCCTACTGGCTATAATCCATCCAGCTGTCCTTGAATCTGTCTCACAGTTTTCCAACACATGTAACCACGAGGATATCATACATTTGCTTGTCCACTGCCTTGCTCAAGTTCAGGCATACTGTGTCACTATCATTTACTTGTCAAAGACGGACTTTAGGGGCTCATTTATTGAAGGGAAGTGAAGGAACTAGATCCCCGACCTTCAGTGTCCCCTTTGATTCTGGGGGTGGTTTGTAGGAGACTCACATTGCACCGGGAGTCCAGAGTCTTGATCCTTGGCTCCAGATTGGCCATTAACTTGCTGAGTGACCTTGAGCAAGTTGCTGGAGCTCTTTGAGCCCCACACCCCTCCTCAGGCAAATAATCTCCATGGTGCCCACCTCAGGGCTGCTCACTGGTTTGAAGGAAGTTAACACTGCAGAAACCTAGAAAAGACAAAATAAATAAATCATTATTAACAACAAGTGATGTGGGGAGATTTTCTGCTGCAGTATTGGCTTTCTCGTGTCTGCAGAGTTGAGGAACTTGGAAACAGGGCTCTGGTTCAGAAAAACAGCTGTTAAGGCGTCTTTCTGCATGTGTGTACATGTGTCTGCAACTCGCTCTGACTCTGTGTCTCTCTCTGTGTGTCCCTCTGTCTCTCTCTCTCTCCCCTTCCTCCACTCCTCTCCTACCTTTTCCCAGTCTTAGCCAGGCCAGAGCTGAAGTGTTTTCACAAGTGACAGCTCAGGACCCTTTTAAAGCAGGTCTGCCTTCCCATAATGGCTGTGGTTAGAAGATCAGGCCATGTTGAGACAGCCTCTGGGTTTTTCTGGCTTCAGGCTTGAAAGGCAGAGCATTTTAGTCTCTTGCAAGTCCCAATTAAACAGAACTTCAGTGGCAGATCAGGGAACAGAAGCCCCAGGCTGCTGTATTAGGCTCCTGGGGAAGGAGAAGGGCCGGGAAAGGTAGCAGGGGTGGGAATCTGCCAGCACTTGGTTACTCGTGGTTTCAGGCCAAGGCAGGCAGCACTGATACCACCTGCTCAGCCCTGCTTCCTGCCCACCTCTGGCCTCTGCCAGCTTTCTGCCTCTGCAGCCTCCAAGGTTCAACACAAACCGGGGTGTGGATCCTGACTCTCTCACCTGCTACGTAACCTACAGCAAGTCATTAACCTCTTTCAACTGGATTTCTTTGGAAAATGGAGATGATAGGAGGTAAGCTGTAAGGATCAGGTTGAACAATTGCATAGCACAGAGTGGGAGCCAGCAAATTATGGGCTATAGACCAAACTTGGCTCACTCCCTGGTTTTGTATGACCTGCAAGCTAAGAATGGATTTTATATTTCTAAATGGTTGGGGGCGGGGCGGGAATCAAAAGAAGAGCAGTATTTCATAACATTGAGCATGATATGAAATTCAAATTTCAGTGCCTCTAAAGTTTTATTGGCACACAGTCAAACCCAATCATTTATGTATTTTCTAGCGCTGCTTTTACACTCTAGTGACAGCTGAGTAGTGGGGACCAAGACTGTATATGGCACTCAATACCTAAAATACTATCTCATCCTTTACAGAAAAAGTGTGCCTACCCTTGGCACAGGTACAAACTACCTGGATTCTGTTCTGTCACTTACTAATTACGTGTCTCTGGGAAGGCCACAATTTCCTCTTCTGTAAAATGGGAATAACAGTTGTGATTAGGGGCTATTTTAAGGATTAAATGAGTTAATACTTGTAAAGCACTAGGACCAATGTCTGCATGCATTACTATGAAAATAAATAATTGAGATCATGTATATGAGGAATTAAGCAATGATCTTGTATTTTGGATTTGGTTGGAAGCAAAATCAGAAAGAATGGTGGCTTTATCCCTGATACTGTCCTGGGCAATAGCTTTTCAGTCAGACACTCAAATGAAGACATCTGAGGTAAGACAGTGGAATGCACCAAGGGTGTGCAAATGGACAGGAGTGACTGAGGAAGGACAGAAAATGGATTCCCAGAGGCCCTATTAGGAACAAATGCACTGACTAGACAGATGAAAATTTGGAAGGCTAAGCCTATATGTGGCTGGTTACTCTACAGAGACATTAATGTGTGTTTTGCCTTTTTTTTGTTTTTTGTTTTTCATTTTGCTGCTATCGAAGAACAAAAAGAATGAGAGATGGTTTCTTGTCTCCTCCTTGACAACCCCATCTCCCCAAGAGAAAAAGAGTTTTGACGCATGGAGTATTGAAAAGAAATTGAAGGTGGAGGCAGTTCTCCCAAGGTGGGAGAGGGTTTGGAAGACTTGAGGTGATGGAGGAGACACGACAGAGTAGGAGCATGTATGACATACATTTGAATACAAAGCATGATGTGCTGCCACTAAAGTGAGTGAAATCTCAGGTTGCATTAATAGAAGCAGGTCTTGTAGAAAGAGGGAGATGATGTCCTTTCTTCTACTCTGGCCAGCCCATGTACTATTCTGGGCAATTTAAGAGGGATGTGGACATATTCGGTAGTATCCCCAGAAGTCCTCATTAGTTGCACTGGGTTTTTCCTCACCCTCATCATCCCTGACCCATGGGAGCAGCTGATAAATGCCAGTAGCTCCAAACATTCTCAGTTATGCAGAACTCACCCACTCTCCCCTGGAGAAAGTGGGCCTGGAGGATGAGTCCTGTTGCAGGTCAAGAATTTTACTTTATCAGCAGCTACAAAAGCATTAACCTGATCCCTAGGGGCAAAGTTTAGCTTGTTTGGCAACTCCTGGGATCTGCTGGCCTGAGATGCTGTGTCTCCTAGTGGTCTTAGACTGAGTGACCCAACTCAAAGTCTTCAAGGCCCCCTGCCACGTGTCTGCAGCCTGATTTCCCAATCTTATCTCCCATTACTCCCTTTTACACGTGTACAACTCAGCCAAAGGAGAACACAGTTCAACTTTTTCAAAAGAACATGCTATATTAGTTGTTTCTGATTGTAAGGGGCAGAATGCCAACTCAAACTGGGTTGACCAAGAAAGGAAAGTTTACTGGCTCATGTGACTGAGATGTACAGGGTTTCCTGGCATCAAGCCCAGTTGGATCCAACATCTCAGGGTCCCTCGATCTCGGTCTCTTGGCTCAGTGTTAGCTTCATTCTCATAGGAACTTTCCCCTAGGAAGTTGAAAAATGGTTGCTGAAAGCTCCAGACTCAAATCTTGCAGCTCAACAGCTCTAACAGAAATAGAATTTTGCTCCCCCAAGAGTCTGAGCCCAAGGCTTAGGAACTGACTTTCATCGAACAGACTGGGGTTATTGCCCATCCCAAATCAAGTCCTGTGGCAAGAGGCATTGAACACAGTGACTGAACAGGCCCAAGTGACATGCCCCAGGATGCAGGGGAAGAGATCCCATTAAGAGTTGGGGGTATCACGAGAGTCAGTGTGGCTTACACTCAGGACTTGAGAGTGGCAAAGGGTGGTCCCTAAAGGACGTTGTGCATTCCATGATTAGAAGCAGGGGAAATGGGTGATAGGCAGGCAACAGCACACGCCCACCCCCACGCATGCTGTATCACTCCTCCTGGCAACCTAGTAAATTGGTATCAGTCCAACAGAGAGTGAGGGAAGCAAAGTCAAGAAAAGCAGGGGAAACCCTGCATTTCTTCTTGCTGGCTCTGAAAGGGGACTAGAAGAGAGGATGCGGAACCATGGGGAGGATTTTAAACTTTGAAAGTTAACCTTCCTGCAAAGATCATGACTAATGGAAAGAGAGATGCTCCTGGAGCCTGGACGCAGAATCAGGGAGGGAAACCCAGGGACTGGTGAGGAGTCAAGCAGCAGATGCTACTTAATATGCTTCTTCCCCGCCGATCCTTTTTTTTTTTTAAGGTGTTTTATTGGTTTTTTCAGAGTAAGCACATATGCATTTACTGGGGTTTTTTTCGGGGGGGTAGATAATTACGTTTATGTATTTGTTTATTTAATGGAGGTACTGGGGACTGAATCCAGGACCTTGTGCACACTAGGCATGCTCTCTACCACTAAGCTATACCCTCCCCCTCCATCCTTAAAGAGCCCTGTACTGTTCAGGTGTCTACCCAACCCAGCCTCAGAGTGAATCATGACTGGTCCAAGCTCATTATGATGCCACCACCCTTCTTGCCAACAACTAGACCAGGTGTGAACTTGTGATGTAATTCTGATCAATGATATCTGGGGGGCTTTTCAGAACCACTTTCTTCACTGACAAAAAGAAACGGGAAAAAATAGACCATCCCCCTGTGCTGGACAGTATTATGTCTAGAAGTGCAGCAGGTTATCCTATAATGAAGAAGACAGCCAGCCTGAAGGCCAGCTGATGTCAGAAGAAGACAGAGCAGAAAAATGGAAAGAACTTGAGACTTTGCTCAAGACGCTGAGCCACTGAATTAACCAATCCTGGGAACATCTTACTTTGGGACTTCTTAGAATATGGCATTACAACGTTCCTTTATAGGCCAGTCACACTGGAGCCCTCTCTTACTGTAGCCACAGCACCTAAGTGACTCAAATAGGCCTTGCTTATTGAGAGAGTTTCCAAAGAGAGAGGACACTTCCAACACAAGGTGCTGAGGCTCTAGGCAAGCTGCACAGCCTCCTGAGAAGTGCAGAGTGGTGGAAGGAGGATGCGCTTCAGAGACTCACACTCCTAGATCTGTCACTTAACAGCTGTGTGCCCTTGACCACATTCATTCAACTCTCAAGGACTCAGTGTTTTCATCTGTTAAATGGGAAGGATAACCTGTACTTCATCGAGTTATTGTGAGGCTCGAGACCATGCAGAGTTCTGACAGACAATGATAACGGCCACATATGGAAGGATCACTTTTATCTGCATATCACCGGACCAGGAACTCAGTGATGTCCAACTAATGACTGATAAGGTGGTGACACTTTATCAGAAATTCTTCAAAAAGCTTCTTGAAAGATCCAGATTCCTGGACTCTATCCATGGGGATCACAATTCAATAGATCTAAGATGGGATCTGTGTATTAGTCACCACTCTTTCAGTTGCAAGATGCAAAAACTCAGCTCAAACTGGCTGAGGCAAAAGAAAAAGAAAGAGATAAATAAAGAGAGAGAGAGAGAGAGAGAGAGGGAAAGAAAGAAAGAAAGAAAGAAAGAAAGAAAGAAAGAAAGAAAGAAAGAAAGAAAGAAAGAAAGAAAGAAAGAAAGAAAGAAGGAAGGAAGGAAAGAAAGAAAGAAAGAAAGAAAGAAAGAAAGAAAGAAAGAAAGAAAGCTCAAACTGGCTGAGGCAAAAGAAAAAGAAAGAGACAAATAAAGAGAGAGAGAGAGAGAGAGAAAGAAAGAAAGAAAGAAAGAAAGAAAGAAAGAAAGAAAGAAAGAAAGAAAGAAAGAAAGAAAGAAAGAAAGAAAGAAGGAAAGAAAGAAGGAAAGAAAGAAAGAAAGAAAGCAAGCAAGCAAGCAAGCAAGCAAG